AGGTTGTAATGTTAAAATATTTGAATTTGATTTAGAAACACACAAATCCATTCTTAAAGCAGGAAGGCATGAATTTGTAACTGACAAAGGATTGATTTTTTTTTTGAAAACAATGAATTTGTAACCGGCTGGAATTGATTTTGAGAATAATGGATTTGTAACCCATGGGTAAAATTGAATAATCGGTTACAATTTTTTTTTTAATTAAAATTTATAACACCCATGGGTACAAATATAGGGGGTCGGGAGGAAAGGAAGGTTCTAGTTAAATAGCACTTGGAGCAAAATTTGAGTGCGATGTTTGAGAAAAACCCAGATCTGGAGAAGAAGAATAAGGGAGAAGAGAGAGAGAGAAAGAATAAGGAGAAGAAAGAGGAAGGATGAGCAGGGATGAGGAAAGGAGGAAGAAGATGAAGTTTCAGAGAGAACCTAGATCTGGGTTTGCAGAGGTAAGGGAAAAAGGAGAGAGAAAGTGAAAGAGGAAGAAGAGATGATGTGGATGGAAAAAAAAAACATTATTATTTTTAAATTAAATAAAAATGACAACTCATAAAAAAATTGCCAACTATGTTTTTTTTTTCCCCATGTCACTAGTTAAAAAAAAAAGAAAGAAATTGATTTGCTAGCAAATTAACGTGCCACCTGTCATTTAACGATTTAAATATTATTTTGGTTCTTCAACTTTCCATTTTGGCACCAAAATTGTCCTTCAACTTTAAAAAGTATCAAAATTATCCTTAAACTTCCATTTTTTGTGCCAAAACAATTCTTTTGTCAGTTAAATGACATGTGTTACGTTAACTTGCCAACAAATCAATTCTTTTTTTTTCTTAACTAATGACGTAGAAAAAAAAAAACATAGTTGGCCTATGAGTTGGCATTTTTATTAAATTTAAAATTAATGATATATTTTATTTCATCCAGGTCATCTCTTCTTCCTCTTTCACTTTCTCTCTCCTTTACCTTTCCTTTGCCCTTACCTCTACAAACCCAGATCTAGGATTTGTGTTCTGTCTCAAACTTCA